CCCGCCGTTATTGTTGCCCGTCGCCCCCTCCTTTCTCTTCCACCGGCGGAAAGAATTCGTCCAGAGACCGAAATCTCCCCTTTTTAGCCGCTTCTTCCCACGCCCCGCTTTTCTGTGGGGGTTTTGTTTTGCTTTCAGCCCGGTGTTTTAAAAATACCCCGAAAATGGCGATTTTTAGAGAGAATTCAGGAAAGTGGCTTTTCTGTGGAAAGGTGTCTTTTTAAACAAAAAGAAGCACTCTGTATATATTATATATATAACTACCTATCTGAGTTCCTGCAGGGCAGTTGACGAGGTGGCTTGTGTGGTGGGGTTTTTTTTAATTAAGTTTAATTTCAGGATTATTTTTTTTTTTCTTGCTAGAAGTGTTATTTTAGAGCCGGGTGGATTCTTCTCGGCTTTTTTTCCTCCCTCTCTTTTTTTTTTCTTTTTTTTTTTTTTTCCCCTCCCTTCCATTAAAAGCCGAAAAAGCCAATCTCTTATTTATAAACCTACCGGGACTTGGCTGTCGCGATGTACAACACGGTGTGGGATATGGACCGCGATGACACGGACTGGAGGGAAGTGATGATGCCCTATTCCACTGAGCTGATATTTTACATTGAAATGGACCCTCCAGGTAGGGAGCCGAAGCTGCGTGCCTGCCTGTGCACCCCTCGCAGCGGGTCGGGGCCGCCTTTCATTCCTGCCTTCCCTCCCCTGCCCGTCCTCCCTCCTCCTTGCAGACTTTGCCCGTTTGAAAAAGGAAGGGGGATCTGCAGAAGGGGAGGGAAGAAAAAAAATATCGATAGTTAAACTTTGTGTAAAGTTTCTAGGGTCTTGAACACGCTGTCTCTTGGGTAAAAGTATTTTGATACTGGTTTTTTGGGAGGTGGGGGGATAACTGTGATTTATGGTGCTTTTTGGGAGGTGGAAGAAGGCGGGAGGAGGAGAGCTGCTCGCAGCCCCTCTCCCGAGTCTCCTTTTTTTAAGCCTTTATTGAAAACCGTATATTTCGGCTGTATTCACTTCTAGAGGAGCGTTTTTATTAGCCTCTTCACCTGTGTGCTTTTATGTGCCTGTAACACTTTGATGGTAGTGATTTACCTGCCTCCATTCAGTTCCAGTTTAATCGCTTTTACAGTCTCTGAGACCCTTTTCTCACCAGCTCTCTTCCAGCATTGACAGATGAGGTGTGTGTTGTAGCTGGGTTTTGGTGCTGGGGGGGGGATAATACTTGGGAACAGGCTGGAATCCATCCCTGGAGGCACTGTTACTTTGATAACATGTAATAACCTTGTTCCAAAGGGTTTGATGCAATTATTTTTTTTCCCCCCTGTGGATTGCTAGTGCTGAAAATAGAGAAATGCATTATCCCTCGCTTGCCTGAAGTTTTTAGATGGGACAGAAAGTTTCTTTTGTGTCTGAAGAGTGAGGCAAGGCTTACACGGAGAAGAAGTCTTCCTTTGGTAATGATATGAATTAAAGTAAGCATAAAAGGGTACTGGTGAAACCGTATCTATAGCTGTAAGAATCTAACAAGCTGAGAGCAGTAAGGTAATTGAAGGGCCTTTATGTTCTCGGGTCTCTGATCTGTATGGCCAGAAGATACAGTAAAATATGCACCACAAATCTTAGCCTGCAGAGAAATTGATAGCAAATAAGTACTTCTAAGTGGTATCTTCTGTGTGGCATGTACCGTTACACTTTCAAAATGTGCTTTTCGATCTGTGTTTGAATCGTGGCTTGTATCTCCAAGTGTGGTTTGGTCTCTTTGTTTCAGCACAGTGAGCTCTCTTTTGCTCTCTGTAGGTATGTGGTACTTTTAATTAAAAAGAGGAGGAAGTGATCATCCTGAGATTTTTGGATCTCAAGGACCTGTACTCACTTCCTCTGGTAACTCTGACGCTTTAAAAATTGGACAGATCTCTCAAATGCACAATACTGGCCACTACTTGTTAAATTCTTGCATAGCTGATGCTACCTATTTTTAGATGTTGCTCCTGAAAGCCTAAAATTCAGTCAAATCTGTTTGCTTCTGTAAATTTCAAAGGGTATCTTTCTTGTAAATGCTCTTGATCTTAACTATTCATGAGGTTAGTATTTGTATTTGCTTGTATCAAGTGAACAAAAACCTGAGTTCCATTGTAGGTGACTTAAAACAATTGGTGTGGAGTTTTATATTAAAAAAAATAAAGCCCCTTCAATGGCTTAGTCCAAGGAGGCTGCTGAAAGGGGCTGGCCTAACTGAACTGGTCAGAAAATGACTCTCTTAATATTTCTGCATGAATTTGGCCATGCAGCCTTATGAAGTTTACATTAAGAAGCAACCCTTCTGTCGGTAATAACGCCAATATTTCCATTATCGAAGCCCTATTGTCAGGGATCAAGGCTCTGCACAGTCCAAACCTCGCTTAACGAAAGGACTTAATGTTACATGCTGATCCCTGAAGTGTTCAGTAACTTTATCTTTCATGTTTTAAAACTAGAAAAGCCAGAGCTGGAAGCGATGCATGGGATGATCCCCATGTGTGTGTCCTGATTTCGTACAACTATTAACTTTTAAATTGCAGGGGAAGGGAAGGAGAGTGTGGCAGAGGTGGTCTGCTTTTTCCTTGTCCAGAAGTGGGGTGGGAAAGCGCTTTCTGGTCTGGGATGATAGGTCATCCCTAAGGTGAGTGTGGAGGAATTTGTTTGGAAGGCTTAAACACTCAGCATGCCTTGGGGTAAAGTCACTGCGTTTGCACCCGGTAACAACCACAACTCCTTTTGGCCCACTTCCAACCAAAATTTGTGAAGGTTTTCAGTATAGCATTCCCCCGTGTGGTGGCTGGAGTTCCTGAGCAGCTGAATGGTGGCAATATGTTTTCTCAGCAGCGTGCAAACTAACAATATGCAGCAAGTGTCCCCGCTGCCAAAGGACGCAGCGCGGTCTTTTGTTCACAGAACTTGCGTGAAGAGATCCCTGGTTGGTCTTTATGCTGCAGGACTGGGCATCGACTCATACTGGGAGCCAAGTGTCTCGAATCACGCATGACTGCTCATGATTACATTTTAGTGCGTCTAAACTTCAGGCAGAAGACAAAAGCAAGGTGAATGTAATGTGCAGTGTCACCCGTAACCTCTAAGTCAAGGGTGGGGATACTGTTTCTTGTTAAGGGCCAGTAGACCTTTAATTTATCTTGGCAGGCTGTCTTAATACCCACCTTAGCGTTGCCCAATAATAATGCAGAAATAAAATCCTGTGATGGCAGGCAGCCTGTGGCACAGCCGTAGCTTCTGTCAGGCCTCAGTGCACCTGCACCAGCTTATCAGTGTGCTCCTGTTTTCTGTCTGGGGTTGTAGGTGTAAATGGATGTTCAGAGCAGGTCCTGAAGCCTCTCTGCTAGAAGGCTTACTTAAAAAATAATAATAAAGTTGATGCCTCTCTTACACGAGTTTTCCCCAACTCCAGCAGAGACAGGATCAGGCAACAAGGGATTGCTAGCTTTCTGCTAGTTTTTAATCCATCCTAAATATGGGAGTGGGACAGTTTTCCTAAACAGAGCATTGGAACCAGGGATTCAGTTCTGCCAGCCTTGCAGAGCGTGCCTTAGAGCGGTACAACTAATACAGGATGAACAGTGGTGACAACACGTGGGGTGAATCCTCGTACCTGATGCTTTTTCCCTCTGCTTGCATGTATAAATGCATAATAAAATGAATCACTGGCATAAGGTAGGATCTATACCTGGTAAATAATACTAGGTGCAACTAAATAACTTTCAGTGTCTAAAGACAAAACTGGAACCCTCAGTTGCCTATAGCTGACATAGTAGCTTCTGAACTTTCTAATCATGATTAATTTAGAGTATTACGGCCATAGCAGCATCATATGCTGGTTCTGGCACTAGGAAACTGGCTGTCAGGGGTTCACTTGCATGTTTGCTCTTGCTATGGGTCTTGCTATCTGAAAAGATAAGGAAATAGGTTACTGAACTGAATTTAGTTTTTATTTAACAACATCTGTTCAGGTCTGCAAAAAGTTGTTACTGCCAGAAGTTAAGTTTTTGAATGGAAGATGTTGAATTGGCTGCAAAAGTTACCAGAGTACCTAAAGCATAGCTACCTCTGTATTAGTTCACTTCTGATTAGTAGGACTAAGTAATGTCTTTCCCTCTGCAGATCTGGGATATGTTGTCAGTTGTGTTGATGATAAAATGTGTAATCAGTGAATACATTTTGTCACAATTGGATGAAAATCAGTAAGTGTGTTCTGCTGGGATTTCAGATACAGATGTCAGCAAAGATATTTGGCTCAACTACAAATTAGAGGTTAGTTTCATTTATGTGGATTATGAAGAAAACCACAAGTTTAAAGAAGGCTTACTATGACAGAACGGGCTCTCTCTGTTTATGAGCAGATAAGAGAATAAGTGTTTGTCCTAAAGCTATATGAAAGCTACCTTTTTGAAGCCTGTTAGGCGCAAATATGACCCACCACATTTCTAACTTGATCCAACAGTCTTTTTCAAGAATATTACTCTTCCTTGCCTCATCCGCTAAGGCTGGCTGTAACAATGCTGTTGCTACAAAATCTTTTAATAGTTAACGGGGGGCAGTAGTAATCTATAGGCTGCTTCATTTAGTCTATTTTGCAAAAGGAGCACTGCCATTGTATGAGTGAGACAAGTATTCAAGGGGAAAAGTGTATTTATTCATTATAGTTTCTATTTTCTTCTCGTATATAATTTGACAACCCTTATTTTAGGGGAGCAATACTATAATTGTAATTTGGAAAACATAGGATTCTGCTCTCAAGGGCAGTGTTTACTGGGATACCAGTCATGCTGTATCATTATCAATGTTATAGTGGAAACCGAATGTGGTTTCTCAAATGGTTTGTGGTATGCAGTAGCCAGATGTAGGTGAACACTGCATGTCTATGCCTGACTAGTTTTCCAGTGGGAGAACAGATGCAAATTTTAATAGCATTGTCAGTATTGTCCTTCAGCTTATCTGATCTGACTCCAGAAGCTTATCAAAGAAAAGTTCTGCTCTTACACATCGTAAAAAAAAAAAAAAAAAAAAAGTAGGTCTACTAGTGCATGTAATCAAGACAGCAGCACTGTAGCAGCAACTGTCTTTGTTGCAAATTTAAGTACTGCTGACAGTCATATTTCCAAAACAGCAGATGTTGGGGTTGAGAGTTTCCTTATTACAGAAGGGAAGTTTGTGCAGGTTTTTTGGGGGGCAGAGCAGAGAATAAATAAGGCTCAGTCACTTGTATTCTGCATATCGTGAAAAATGGTTTGAATTGGAGTCTCGGCTCCTATGAGGACACTGATGTGAAATGCTTACGTTCTGTTCCTGTTACACCTAGATTTCTCTACTGGCCTTTTCATTTAATGAGTGCTGTAACGATTTTTTATTTCTGATTGCATTTTCAGGCTTGCTTTTGCATTCCTTGCGTTTGGTTTTCATTTTCATGCCTCTAATTGTTAAAGAATATCACTCATCAGCTTTCAATTAAATACATGAACACAAAAAATAGCATCATTAATATAAAGTGAAATGATGTTTTGCTTGAGATAGGAGAGTCTGTTTTAAAAGGCTGACATTTTTGTTTATCAGTAGGCTTTCAGATGATGTAGAAATAGT